TAAGCGAGTGGACTCAGTTTAGCCTCAGAACAGCCGTGAATAAAGAAGGGTACCTAAACATCCTCCCAGAGGAACTCCTCCAACCATCTACAGGTGGGGATGATGATGGAGCATCGGGCCAGAAGGATAACGTCAGAACTAAGTGGATCAGGAACAAAAGACCTTCTGGCTCCAGTCAGAGGGGTCTTTGGTTATCTGTTTATTAGGTCTAAAATGCCACATTTAATAAAAAAAACAAGTGTTTAGTTCACGTTTTCAGTCATCTGTTGGAGTTGATGTATATGTTACACATGTAATCCTCCAAAGTTGTTTTACCTCCACATTTCTGCTAAATACATTTTTTATGTTTAAGCTCCCTTAAAGGCCACCATGAGGGATAAAGAGTTGTGTAATACCAGCTTCATAAAGGTTACCAGAAACGCACCACTATAGTGCTAACCACAACAGATAGGTGTGAACTAGCGTTTCATCATCTGACCAACGCTACTTGACATCTCCCAAAAGCCTGCATGCTCCTGTTTGGTGCGGCTGTGTTCTGCTCCAGACTTGATATTCTTACAAATGGACAGAGATAAGACGGGAGGCCAGGAATCATCCTTAGATGACCAGAGAACAAATTTCCATTCAAAGCCTTTTTTTAGAGGCTGCCATGACGACGAGCTGTCCTCAGATAACTCGATGACCAACGGTAGTAGTAGTAGCTTCTGTCCTTGTGCATACACCAGGTGACACAGGTCAGACTGGACTGACTTCATAAAGTCTGAGAAAAAACATTTGAAAAGGAAACTTTCCACCTGATAAGTGTTTGTTCAGAGGATTTTCTTTACAAGCTATGCTGCACTATAAAGCATCAGTAACGTTATGGAGTCCTTGCTCCTCATGAATAGACAATATACTGTTTTAATTTTACCACAGGGGTAAAATGGAGGATGTTTTTATGGTGCAGCAAGATTTAATGCATACCTACTTTTTAATAGTGGTGAAAAAAGCCAACATGGTTAAAGTTCGCTGTTGAATTCTTTTATCTTCTGCAGCAAAACAGCCCTTTAGTTTGATTTGCACCCAGGATGCATGTTGGAAAAACGTGTTGTCTTTACTACAGGAACACTGTTGGCATGAAGAGAAAGATTCTGTAGTTTGTTAGTAATTTGTCTCAGCCTGTTTGTCCTCCAGTGATGTGATTACATCACACAGTAATTAGTTACTCATCATTTCTGGTTGATAAAGATGGGTAAGATCAGTGGAGATGTTTCTGCACCAGTGCTTGGAGATGATTCTAGATAGTAGTTTTGTGTTCCAACTCTCAGGGCCTAACAGAGTGAACACAGAAGAGTTTAGTAATATTTATTTCAATCAGTCAATCTTTATTTATGAAGCGCCTTCCACTGCCTTTGTGGCAGTCCAAGGCGCTGAACATTGAATTGAATTGAATTTGAATTTATTCAGTCAAAACATAATAATAATATAATCAATAACACATTACATTATATTACAATTAGAGTGACTGAAAAGGCTCAGGCCGAAGCAACATGCTTATATTTATGCCTGACCTTTTTAACACATTAAACAAATTAATCTACCCCTTTAACACAAATCTGTACAATTTAAGCAAAATAGAAAAGAAGAAGAAAAGAAATATACACCATTTAGTCAAATAAGTTCACAATACTCTTACATTTACAACACAACTTATAAACTCTTGTAACCATCAAAAAGTATCTTCAAAACCATCCTTTTAAACAACAAAAATGTACCACAAGTTCTTACATTTACACTGGCATTTTTCCATAATTTAACCCCCACCACAGATATACTGTACATTTCCCTTTAACTTCTTTGCTAAAGGAACAATAAATGTATTAATATTTCTAGAAATCCTACTTAGTTTCTTCACAAGAAAAAAACGTTTGTATACTTTGCGGAAGTAACTTTAATTTAGCTTTATACATTATTTGCATTATTTTATAGTAAACTAAATCATTAAATTTCATAACATGTGATTTTAAAAACAACTGATGTGTATGTGCCAAATAATCGGCCTTATTAATAATACGTATTGCACGTTTTTGTAAGAGAACTATTGCACTAACCAACGTTTGATTAGTCAGTCCCCAGACCTCCACACAGTATGAAATGTAAGGTAGTGTAAGTGAACAATAAATGATATGTAACGCTGCATAATTCAACATATGTCTTGATTTGTACAGTATTGCTATAATCTTAGAATGTTTTCCTTTCATGTAATAAACATGCTGTCTCCATTTCATTTTAAAATCAATAACCACACCCAAAAATTTAATTTCTGTCACCCTTTCAATTTGAACATTCCATATTTTTAATTTAATTTCCCTGTCAAGTTCCTTTTGATTACCAAATATCATAAATTTTGTCTTTTTTAAATTGAGTGATAGTTTATTAATATCAAACCAAGTCTTAAGAATTCCCAATTCTTTTTCTAGTATGGGCAAAAGTTTCTGTAAATTATTACCTGAACAACATAAATTTGTATCATCTGCAAAAATGACAAATTTCATTAAATTAGTGACCTTACAAATATCATTAATGTAAAGTTAAAAAAATGTTGGTCCAAGAACAGATCCCTGGGGAAGACCACAAGTAACCTTCCTAAATTGTATTAAAAATACATAAACATACATAAACATAAACATAAATTTAGAGTTTGTATTATTGATTTCTACATATTGCTTCCTATTGTCCAAATAACTCCTCAACCATGAATAAGCCACTCCTCTTAATCCATACTTCTCCATTTTTTAAAATAATATACAGTGATCAATAGTATCAAATGCTTTTTGCAAATCAATAAAAATCCTAACAAAATACTCATCATTTTCCCTGGCCTCTGTTATTTTTTCTACCATTTCCATAATTGCATATGTAGTTGTTCTTTTGGCTCTAAACCCATATTGGTGTGCACTAAGTAACCCATATTTTTTAATGAAAAGATCCAGCTGTTTTGCAAATTATTTCTCTAATATTTTTGAGAACTGAGGAAGTAGGGACACTGGCCTATAAATATTAACACAATGGTTGTCTCCATTTTTAAAAATTGGTTTTATTTTAGCTATTTTCATGCTGTTTGGAAAAACACCTTTTGAAAGGATAGATTGCAAATAAAAGTCAGAGGTTTTACAATAAAATCAATGACCTCTTTAATTATGAATGTATCAATAAAATTAATATCAGTGGATTTCTTATTTTAAAGTTTTCTAACAGTTTCTATTATATCACCGTCGTTGATCCCTCCCAAAAAGAATGAATCTTTATTATCCTTAATAAGGTGATCAAACATATTTAATCACAATTTGGAATTTGTTTGGCCAGACTTTTACCAACATCAGCAAAATAATTGTTAAATTCTTCAACAACGTCTTGTTTATGTCCACTATATCACCATATAGCAGCATAACTACAGAGATAACTCTGGATAACCTAGCCTTTTAGATGGAGGCATGTTGGAGGCCGGGCAAGGGAGAGCCGTCTTTACCGACTGTTTTTTTAAACACGTACGAATTTTTTAGATCAGGTCCACATTTTAAGTAATTTCATGACTTTGTGCGCTTCACAAACATTTTCTTTTTAATTAGTAACTGGATTTCTTTCACGTTTTTCATGTTTTATGGCACCCTAATTATTTTGTTTCTTATTGAGGATCTTACCAAGATAACTGAATCATTTCTGCCCAAACAGGAAGAAAATAGAAACTAGAAGCACGTTAATCTTTGTTTTACTATAAGTCATCAGTCTATGCTGTAATAATGTCCCAACAGCATTAATTAGTCCAGCAATCAAAACTCTTCACTTCCATATTTTGTTCTAATTTGGATATTTGGTAAGATTGTGTATAAATGAAATAACATCTTTAATTGACTTTTGTTTATGACTTTTCTCAGTGACGCTTTTTGTTATTTCTTAGACTTTTTCCTATTTATGTGGTCTTGTTTCAGGTGATTGAGCTCCCTTCAGCCTCTGGAAAGATGCGAAAAGGCGATCCTGCAGAATAATTCCAGTTTATTTTATTGTGTCGGCATGCTAAAGCTCATGAGGAGCGTGTGGTGACTCATCGATAGTAGAACGTCTGCATAAGAATCATCTGAATGGAGCTGAGATAAGATGGAGCTTCAGAGCGGGCGTGTGTTTGTTTACCGTCGGTCTGCGTCCTTCCTCCTCCACTTGTTCCATGTCTCGAACTTTTTCAAACCTGTCTCCTTTGATCTCCTCTTTGATTCCAGCAACTTTCGTGTCTCTGCCGCGTCTCCTCCTCGTCTTTGATACTTTTTGTCTTTTCTTTCTCTTCTTTGTTGCGTTTCCTAGTTGCTCCTCTTTTTGAGCGTTGTCTCTTCCTTTCATATTGGAGCCGAGGTTTCCCTCCATCATTTTTCCATTTCCCCTCATCTGTAGCGTCTCCTTTATACCCTCAATTTATGTCTCAACGAGAGAAAGTTTTTTTATGTGAACGTCTTCCTCCAAACCCCTTCTCTGTCCTCTTTTTTTGCTTTTTGATTCTCTCGCTTTGCTTTTCTTAAACTTCTTTTCTAGCTACATAAAATGCTTTTGGTGCTTTTGAAATGTAAATAAAGTTTTGTTGTTTCCTCAGCTGTAGCCTCCTCCAGCCCTGTTTATCAGGCAGACTTCAAAGCGGCACGCTGACATGTGGCGCTATCTCTCCGCTGCTCTGTGAAATAGGGTCACAGGCGGCGCTTGGCTCTCAGAAACTTTCCTCTTTCATGTGAGATGGTGGTGGGCGAGGGGAACGAAAGGGGGCCGTGCCAGCCACCCACTATCCAAACGCAGCGGCTCGTCCACTGCTGTGTGTGTGTGTGTGTGTGTGTGTGTGTGTGTGTGTGTGTGTGTTAACCAGCAGTTAGCCCAGGCCCTGTATAGACTCAGTGTATTGATCCCTCCTGTTGTTTTTGGTATTTTGTGATTTTCTTCACTGAGTTGCTGCCTCTGTCTGTTTCCTTCTCTTGTTTCTGCAGCAGTGGAGCCAGCGTGGGAACGCCTCAGAGGCTTGTGCTGGATTTGGGGCAGAAGCTACGGCCAGACGTACATGACAGGAAGGAAACAATAAATGATGAACAAGCCAGCAGGAGACCAGGAAGGATCAGAGGAAATGGTGTGATGTTAAGAGCTGATTGTACAGGACAAGCCTAAAGAGAGTTCATCTCAGCCACAAATCCTCATCTAAGAGCACCCTAAACAGTCCATCCATCTCTGTCACTTTCGTCCCTCTTCATTCTGTCCATCCCCCCAACGTCACAGCCCAGATAAACCTCTCACACACACGGGGGATCCAGGCAGCAGCTAAAAGAACAAGGGTGACAACGCAAGCTGTCTCTGAGCACAGGAGGGACACGCACTCGCTGCGGGGCCTGGACATAACAGTTGCCTTTAGCTCAAGCACATGGGCTGTTGATGAAGAAAGATGGCAGTGAGACTGACAGGTATCACTCCTTCATCTCCACCACCCTCCCTCCCCCCAGCACCTGTGGCTCGGACAGGTTAAGATCGGTGTTTCGGTATCCACCGCAGCATCTGCAGCAGCTGGTAGAGCAAGGAGAGTGGCAGTATGCAGGAAACCGATTTCCCAGCTACGAATGCTTTCAAAGGTAAACACCGACAACAGTCCGTGTGGCTTCCTGTGGATGTGTCTTATGGTGCCAGTAGTAAAGAAATGTGACCAAAACCCAGTTCATATTAAAGAGTTAGGTTTCTTACTCGATACCTGCAAAGGTGCTCACAGATGAAGAACAGGTGAACTGTAACAAAAGGTGATCTCAAGCAATTCATGCCAAAAGGAGAAAACACTACAGGTCAACAGATTTAAACAGTCTCCTTACAGCTGAGTCATTGATGGTTCCTCATTAAGCTGCTGAGGTGAGGAGATGCCACGGCTTCACCTGTAAAAGCTCCTGTTTGACCTGCAGTTAGTCACAGATTCTGCTGAAGTTAAGGTTACAAGGAATCGTTCCATGAAATGTTTTCTTTTCTGTGGAATCCTCTAAAATAGATAAGCACAGGTGTGTCTCTACACACAGGTCTGTCTCCTGTACAAACAGGTGTGTCTCTTCTACACACAGGTGTGTCTCCTGTACAAACAGGTGTGTCTCCTGTACAAACAGGTGTGTCTCTTCTACACACAGGTGTGTCTCCTGTACAAACAGGTGTGTCTCCTCTACACACAGGTGTGTCTCCTGTACAAACAGATGTGTCTCCTGTACAAACAGGTGTGTCTCCTCTACTCACAGGTGTGTCTCCTGTACAAACAGGTGTGTCTCCTCTACACACTGGTGTGTCTTCTTTACACACAGGTGTGTCTCCTGTACAAACAGGTGTGTCTCTTCTACACACAGGTGTGTCTCCTGTACACACAGGTGTGTCTCCTGTACAAACAGATGTGTCTCCTCTACTCACAGGTGTGTCTCCTGTACACACAGGTGTGTCTCCTGTACAAACAGATGTGTCTCCTGTACAAACAGGTGTGTCTCCTCTACTCACAGGTGTGTCTCCTGTACACACAGGTGTGTCTCCTGTACAAACAGATGTGTCTCCTGTACAAACAGGTGTGTCTCCTCTACTCACAGGTGTGTCTCCTCTACACACTGGTGTGTCTTCTTTACACACAGGTGTGTCTCCTGTACAAACAGGTGTGTCTCTTCTACACACAGGTGTGTCTCCTGTACACACAGGTGTGTCTCCTGTACAAACAGATGTGTCTCCTGTACAAACAGGTGTGTCTCTTCTACACACAGGTGTGTCTCCTGTACACACAGGTGTGTCTCCTGTACAAACAGATGTGTCTCCTGTACAAACAGGTGTATCTCCTCTACACACAGGTGTGTCTCCTGTACAAACAGATGTGTCTCCTGTACAAACAGGTGTGTCTCCTCTACTCACAGGTGTGTCTCCTGTACAAACAGGTGTGTCTCCTCTACACACTGGTGTGTCTTCTTTACACACAGGTGTGTCTCCTGTACAAACAGGTGTGTCTCTTCTACACACAGGTGTGTCTCCTGTACAAACAGGTGTGTCTCTTCTACACACAGGTGTGTCTCCTGTACAAACAGGTGTGTCTCCTCTACACACAGGTGTGTCTCCTGTACAAACAGGTGTGTCTCCTCTACTCACAGGTGTGTCTCCTGTACAAACAGGTGTGTCTCCTCTACACACTGGTGTGTCTTCTTTACACACAGGTGTGTCTCCTGTACAAACAGGTGTGTCTCCTCTACACACTGGTGTGTCTTCTTTACACACAGGTGTGTCTCCTCTACACACAGGTGTCTCCTGTACAAACAGGTGTGTCTTCTTTACACACACAGGTGTGTCTCCTCTACACACAGGTGTGTCTTCTCTACACACAGGTGTGTCACCTGTATACACAGGTGTGTCGCCTCTACACGCAGGTGTGGCCCCTGTACACACAGGTGTGACTCCTCTACACACAGGTGTGTCACCTGTACACACAGGTGTGTCACCTCTACACACAGGTGTGGCTCCTGTACACACAGGTGTGTCACCTCTACACACAGGTGTGGCTCCTGTACACACAGGTGTGTCTCCTCTACACACAGGTGTGTCTTCTTTACACACAGGTGTGTCTCCTCTACACACAGGTGTGTCTCCTGTACAAACAGGTGTGTCTACTGTACACACAGGTGTGTCTTCATTACACACAGGTGTGTCTCCTCTACAAACAGGTGTGTCTTCTTTACACACAGGTGTGTCTCCTGTACACACAGGTGTGTCTTTTTTACACACAGGTGTGTCTCCTTTACACACAGGTGTGTCTCCTCCACACACAGGTGTGTCTTCTCTACACACAGGTGTGTCTCCTGTACACACAGGTGTGTCTTGTCTACACACAGGTGTGTCTTGTCTACACACAGGTGTGTCTTCCCTACACACAGGTGTGTCACCTGTACTCGCAGGTGTGTCTCCTCTACACACAGGCGTAGCTCCTGTACACACAGGTGTGACTCCTGTACACACAGGTGTGTCACCTCTACACACAGGTGTGGCTCCTGTACACACAGGTGTGTCGCCTCTACACACAGGTGTGTCTCCTTTACACACAGGTGTGTCTCTTCTACACACAGGTGTGTCTCCTGTACAAACAGGTGTGTCTCCTCTACACACAGGTGTGTCTCCTGTACAAACAGGTGTGTCTCCTGTACACACAGGTGTGTCTTCTTTACACACAAGTGTGTCTCCTCTACACACAGGTGTGTCTTCTTTACACAGGTGTGTCTTCTTTACACACAGGTGTGTCTCCTCTACACACAGGTGTGTCTTTTTTACACACAGGTGTGTCTCCTTTACACACAGGTGTCTCCTCCACACACGGGTGTGTCTTCTCTACACACAGGTGTGTCTCCTGTACACACAGGTGTGTCTTCTCTACACACAGGTGTGTCGCCTCTACACACAGGTGTGGCTCCTGTACACACAGGTGTGACTCCTCTACACACAGGTGTGTCACCTGTACACACAGGTGTGCCGTCACTACACACAGGTGTGGCTCCTGTACACACAGGTGTGTCTTCTTCACACACAGGTGTGTCTCCTCTACACACAGGTGTGTCTTCTTTACACACAGGTGTGCCTCCTGTACAAACAGGTGTGTCTCCTCTACACACAGGTGTGTCTTCTTTACACACAGGTGTGTCTCCTCTACACACAGGTGTGTCTTTTTTACACACAGGTGTGTCTCCTCCACACACAGGTGTGTCTTCTCTACACACAAGTGTGTCTCCTGTACACACAGGTGTCTCTTCTCCACACACAGGTGTGACTCCTCTACACACAGGTGTGTCTCTACTACTCAAACAGGTGTGTCTCCTGTACAGACAGGTGTCATCAGTCAGATGCAGCTTCTGAAGCCTAGTCGGTCAGATATGTTTTTTCTCTGGGATACGGCGACCAGAACGGATATCAGATTACCAGAGAAGTTCAACCGAACTCCGACCTGCTAGCTAGATATCATTACCGGAGTTGCAGACATGTTTTAGACAGTTTGAATCAGAAGACCTGTGACTCGGTTTGGACACCGGAGAAGATTCTGTTCATCTTCAGAACCAACATCGGTTCCGTTTGTTTACTTTTGTTAAACATTTAATCTCTGTGCTCCACCAGGAGCTCTCAGCCGACTCCAGGTCTTAGCTCCATCATCTGTCCCAATATAATTCAGTAATCTACAGATGAATAAATAATGTGCTGCCAGTTTTACAGCTGTGTGTGTATGTTGATATAACTCTGGATCATATTTACTGATAATTTACCAGAATAAATCTTCCAGATGATGGAGTAACTCGCTAGCTCGACTCGTTGTTTGCACTAATCCAGAATGACACGGAGGTTCTAATGTTGAAATATGGGGATCATCTTTTAGATTATACTTGTGTGTGTGTGTGTGTGTGTGTGTGTGTGTGTGCGTTGTAGCTTTCCTAAATGACTTATTTTTTCCTTACCAGAGCTAACACGGTTAGCAGTGTTGCTGCAGTCATGCAAACGGGACTCTGTATTCCAGAAGTAGTGGTACGGTTCCAGATGGATTTATAGATGTAGGTTATTATTTTAGATCAGACCTGTTATTTAAAAATGCATGTAGGACACGGACATGTGGCTCAGACCTTTTGCTGTAGCTGTAAATGCAATTTTCTGTAATAATTAAGAGCACAAAGTAAACAAAATACAGTTATTCACAATACAGAAGCTAGCTTGTTCTACATGTTGAAGTGGCGTATGCGGAACACAGTTCTTCACTGTCTGGAGGAGAGGATTTGGGTTTGCTGTAATGATTTATATTTATAAAGTGCTTGTGGTGTTAAGCATTTTTCCTTTGCAAATGTGTTCTTTAAATTATTTTTGTCAAATTCACATGAAAAATACTCAAACAAGCTCATATGACGGGTCCCGTACATTGCTTCTAAGTTTAGCTTTAACTTCTGTTTAGCAGCATCACAGTTGCTAGGCAACAAGACATATGCTGAGTTAGGGGTTGGACTCCTGGATTTGGCAAAATATATAATTGTCAGCAATTTGAGATGTTCACAATCTGTCACCAGCAGTCACAGACTAGTGAGATTTGACAGCTTTTAGTCTAGTTATAATGTTTTAATGATTTCATAGGAACACCCTGAACACACAGCGGGTTATTCTGTTTTATTGACTCTTCTGAGCTGCAGTGTTAAGTCTATTGGTTCAGATAAATAGATAACTGATTAATGAACTACAATAATGAGTCACTTCATGTATGCCTCTTCCATATGGTGAGTATGGGAGTGTCAGATGTTGTTTTTATCACTGTTTTAATCCCCTTTCATAATGTTAACTACAAGAAACTCTGTTAAATAGTCATTTTTCTACATTGTGTCACATTTACTGATGAAAACAAATTTATTCTTTGTTGTTTTTGTTCTCAAGGCCCCCCCAGTGGAGGGATTTAAGTGGAATGTAACCTTTGTTTACATACACATGGTAGTCCAGGCTTATGGAGCGCCCCCTTGTGGCCTTTTCCAGTATTTTTTACATCCCTTCTACAGGACGCATTCCTAAATACAAAATAAAACTAGACAAATGACTTATCTCGCAGAAACTTTAGGTTACTATA